CTGTCGTTTGCCCTTGGCGACCTCAGCCACCACCGTATTTGGTCTGGGAGGATTGGAGACCCATTTGGCAGATGACAAATCAATCTTATACAGGGCATCTACCCTCCTGGGTACAGCCGCCACAAGTGGGGGGGCTACATCAGATACCCTAGCCAATTTAAGTAAGTAAGGAAGTGGAGGCAATGCAGTGGGGGACACGATGTTCTGCTCATCCGAGGGGAACATCGGGTCCTCCACGTGTTCAGATGGCTTTGGGGCCGGTAGATCCAGGGCCTTTATCATTCTGCTAACGAGGGAGGCAAACTTATTGAAATCAGGAGATCTGTCCATAGTCTCGTCTGCAGTCCCCGCAGCTTGGGCCGGATCAGGAGAATCTGGGGTCGATTCATAGTTGTCAATGTCCTCGACTGTAAGTCCAAGCTCCTGTCCCCCTAGGGTATCTGGCTGGACATCAGTGAGCTGCAGCTCGCCCTCACACAACATTGGGAGGGGGGGGGTGTCATGAATGGAGGGAGGTACAGTATTGGCTCCCCTACCTGCTGACACATTCAAGGTATGCGCCCCCTGCAGAGAGGTGCCCGGCATCACAGTCAAAGGCCCCTGGGGAGGGGGAGGGGCAGCCGGCGCCATCATCCTTTGCATGGGAAGGGGCATGGCCGGTGTCGACGACATCGGAAAGGGTGGTTGAGGAGGCCCCATTGTGGGGACAAACACATATTGCCCCGTTGAAGACATCTGCCAAAAACCTTGATAAGGCAGGGGAGGGGGCGCTGGGGCAGGAACCCGGTGTCCCCTGCGCGAGGGGGATCGGGACCATCTTGAACGACGTCTCCTTCTCGAGCAACCTGAGGAGGAGGAGGATGACGAGGAGGATGAAGAGGGCGATCTGCGCCGGCGTCGCCCAGATCCCCTTGAAGATCGAGACGGGGAGCGCGCACGTCTCGAGCGCCGGGAGCCGCGCCGCGGCGGCTCGATATGCTGGGCCCTTCTCTCCTCGCCCCCGCCCTCAAGGGCAGCCGATGTCGAGGGAGGGGAGGAGTGTTGCAGTGCCGCTCCCCCAAAGATCGAGGAGGAGGGGCCAGCCATCTGCATTGGAGACGAGGCCACGCCCCCGCCCAGAGGTGGGGCTAGCATCGGGGGAAGCAGCTGATCACCGAGAGCGCCCTCGGTATCGCGAGGGTCAGCTCCCGCTGCCTGCATCCCTGAGTCTCCCGGCATCGGGGGAGTGAGGGCAGGCATCGGCAGAGGCGGGATCGCCTGCCTGTCGCTCTCGGGAGGCTCTGAAAGCGTGAGCGCAGGTGCTACCTCTCCAGGTAGCGTCGATGGCGGCAGGCTTCCCACGCCGAGCGGCTGCGCCGACCCCGCAGGCTGGAGAGAGGAGAGCCGCGTAGCCTCGAGAGGGGGCGCTCGATCACCACGCTGCTGAGCGGGAGGGAGTCGAGTCGGAGGTGAGTGACGAACTGTCTCACTTCCCGCCTTTTTGCTCGGTCCCTGGGGACTCGGAGAAGTCAGAGCGCCATCTTGGAGGACAGCCTCCTTTGCCTTTTTAACTTTCTTCTTGGCGGGTCCGCCATGTTGAGGCAATTTAAGGCCCAATAGGCTGGAAGGCCTGGCGGTTTGGGCTGGAGGCGCTGGCGGAAGGAGGGCCCTTTCATACAGCGCCGCCTTCAACCTGGAGACCCTGTTCTTTCGGGTCTGAGGCGTGAAGGCCTGGCAAATCTTGCATGGTTGAGCAAGATGGGCCTCTCCCAAACAGGCTAAACACAGCGAGTGCCCGTCAGTATCCGGGAGAGTATTTGGGCACTGAGTGCACCTCTTGAAGGACGTGGTCGCCATAGATGTTTTAGAAAGGCGAACAGTCAACAGCCGATAGGGAGCAGGCCAAAGGAAGGTCGAAGACAGTCCGAGTCAATTAGCCAGGCAGAAGACAAGAGGAGAAGTTAGGTACAGTCCGGGTCAAAGAATTAGAGTATAAACGAAAGCCAGTCCGAGTCAAAAACCAATAGTCTACCTATGAGTTGATCACGAAGAAGGTTCTCTAGTTGAATCGCTGGCGGATAAAGAGAACTGAGGGGGCCTGGCCCCGCGTGGG